CATTCGGTGGTCGCTATTAGTTTTCATCTTTGCGATCACTGAGACATAACTAAACAGTTGCCGTCTAGTCGTCATTATGAAGTCAATCTTATTTTTGTCGAAACGTCGGGGCTCGTCCAGGTCCACTTTCTGTGGGGCTGTTTCTAGAAGAAGGAGTTCATCATAAACAGTTACTCTTTCTCCATGAAGTCGGCCAGCTGCTGGGTTCCGTTACCGTATTGCTTGGGATCCTATAAATATTATAATTAAATTGAAACTCAAGCATATGAATACTTCAAGATATTGTAGGCACATTCAGTGTAGTTAAGACCAAAAATAATATTTAGTAACTGACGGTAGCCAGGAAAACTATGACACCGGGACGACAAAGACTGTAGGCCCTCGGTAACCATGGGTGCTGTGGGTATTAAAAAAATAAAATTAAATGCGATAACATCAGTAAATTCTTCTTAATTTTTGTAGCTTGGATGTTTGTTTTTAACATTTGCAATTTTAAATTAACAAATAATAAGCAAAATTCAAATAAATTCAAATAGAGTAACAGGGGCCACCGGTGAACCTGAGAAGAGTAGCCATAACGTTATTTTCATATACAGAACTGTCTGTCATATTTTGTGGGGGAAATCTGCGCACACAAAAACAATCGCCTGTCACCACGAAAATAACACATAATTGTTAAAACAATAAATTAACAATCCACACACACATAGATACATTATAACAAAATCGCTCGGTGACAGCGTTACAATTCGGTTACAGACTTGGATCAGTCGCTCAACCGATCTGCGTGATGATCTGATGTATGAGGGTGAGCGGCCTGTGTTGGTTAACAAATCTGAAACAATACAACCGTAATAATTGTCAGTTTTAAGTTTCAAAACAAGTAAAGGGGAATAATGTGATTAAAAATTCCTTTTGTATGCAAGGTAACGCCATCTTTTCGTCAACTTGACGTATCAGATCGCTTTTTGCAGCAAAAAAAAAACTGAACAATTCATAGCTTTACGCTTAGCCATTACTCATTGCATTTGCATAAAGCATATAGTTTCTTGGTGAACTTTGAATACGGTGAATGGCAATATTTTGATATATTATAATATGGGAGAAAAATATATCACGGAACAGTCAGGCTAAAGGTAAATTGGCTGCTGCAGTACATAGATAGGAGATATCTGCGACCGAACGAAGATCACATGCATAACAGTTTCGTTTTCTCTCTCACTCTTTGAACTAAACTATATACTCCTCTTGATTAAAACTACTTCTACGGATTTCATCGCGTTTAATTTTAATTATTTTTATTTTTAATTCCCCACGTTTCGGGTGCTTTCCAGCACCCATGGTCACGGGGGACTGAGGTTACTGACGTCCCGATGTCATTGTTAAACCCGGAGTACCTTCAGCTTTTTTAATTATTGTTTATGGTCCAATCTATGCAAAATAAACTGAGGTCCTGAGGTCTTGCAGTGGTATGCTTGGGTTTAGTTTTAATTTTATTGATTATAGGGTCCCAAGCAGATGGTAGTACCCAGCCTCCTTCTCTATTGAAGTTAAGACACGGTAATATTATCTATACAGTATTGTAACTCGGCCGTATCTTTCAAATAAATGCCTACAGCCGTGCGGCACGTAAACATGTGATAGGGTTACCTGCCTCCAGTATTTTTACATTTGCCTACTTTGTGTTTCCATTTAGTTTTATGATTGTAAATATACTTTTTATATAAACAAATAAAATAGGTACTTTGTGAATTGAATAGGAAGTGTTCAATAAAAATGCGTGTCGTTTTTTGATTGGTAGATTTAATTAAAAAACCATGTTTATGTTTGAATAACGAATCGGTTAAATAAATTTGCGACCGAAAAATATTTGCACCTCGGCTGAGACTTACGAAATGCTTTATTATTAGATTTTTAAATATAAAAAAATCCGCTTTCTAATATAAAGCTAAAAATAATATAAATTAAAAATTGTTTTGGGAAACATGGACAACATCGAGAAAAGGAATATCTTTTAATTGGTTATAGATACCTGCAGCTACTTTACAATTTATATGTTTGTTTTTAAATGAAGTTCGGATTTATTATTTCTTTATTTCTATTCTATTATATATTTCCTCCATTTTTTTATATATTTCACAAAATCATGACTGCGGCACAGTCTCGACTGTCTGCATGCCGAGCGCATGCCGAGATCGAGGCGCGTAGGCATAGCTCTCGCTTCGTCCGTTTGTATGAAGTTGGAATACTGTATAGATAATATTACCGTGGTTAAGATAAAATCCGATAAAATCCGATAAAATCCGTAAAAGTAGTTTTAAGTAATGTGTACTGTTCGCGTAAATATAAAAAACCATTATATACTCCTCTAGTAAGTACCCCCTACTAAATAGAGTGACGACATGCTCGGAGAAGCAAGCAAACGGTGGATGCAGGTTGCTCAGGAAAGTGTTTTGCGGCATTCCTTATGGAAGCTTCATTTTCAGCAGTGGACTTATGATCGGCTGTAATGATATTACATCATCAATAATGTCCTCCGGACCGAATTTCGGTCACAGTGGCCCATCACAGCGGAGACTAGCAATCGGCGAGTGTATGCGTAAGCACAAGTACTCTCTGTTCCCTTACTCTCATAATCCGATGAGACGGTTACCCTACACGACCAGAGAGAGATCTGGCGCAGGACCAACGGCTTTACGTTTTTTCCAAGAACGAGGGTGAAACATTGTCTACTTCCTGACTCCGAGTTTCTACTAAGAATTTTTTAATAGAAAAACCAAAAACTGATTTTAACCAAACCCGGAATTCAAATTAGCTTATGATTAGCAACCACGTTTACGACCACTAGATCATCGAGGTCTCATATTGCTTATAATCATTATGATAATTATTAGATAAAACATTCCAGATATATGAACTCAAAAGCTTATTGTATTTGTATTGAACAAAGATATTGCACTTTCATTTTGTAATCAAGAGCCTTCATGGATGAACAGATGAATAAATCGAAATAATTGGTATTGCCCGAACTACCCTAGGAACTATAATTTGATTATAAATAGGTATACGATTGTAGTTTAAGCGAGCTATTATCGTGTAGCATGTTGACAGCTGTACTTTTTAATTATTTTGAGTTGTGTTCAGGAAGCTTCTATTTACTTATATTTGATTATACAATATAATAATAATAAAAATACGCCCTTCATTTCCATAAACAAACAATAGCAAAAAAAATACATTTATATTTATCTAAAAACTAAACCAATTATTGTATCTCTATCTTAATTACTTAAAAACCATTTAAAATTACGTGTATTTGAATTTTTATGTTTACGCGAACATTACACATTGAATTAAACTATTTTACGGATTTATATGGAAACGTCGGGAATTAAAAATAAGTTAATAAAATTCGCATAAATAGTTTTATTCAATTACATCTATTTTTTTAGTCTTATTTTGGTTGGACCACTCTGGGGCCTCCTCTTGATTTTTCCGTCTTTTTCTGTCCTTCGCCTCTACTATACAATTCTTTTCTACTTTCACAATGTCTTCGCTCCACCTAACTTTAGGCCTTCCGAGTCTTCTGGTTACCGATGGACCACGTCAAAACGTATTAGTTTTTTTTACCTTTCTTCGTGCATCCTCGCAGCATATCCAGCCTATTTCCATTTCAGAAAAAAATTGATTACCTAATACTTACCTGTATTAATCAACGGTGATGGTGTAGTAGTCTTTGCGAAAAAAAATATAAACATATTAGTCGAAGAACTTGACATGCTAGATAGTAGTAGGATATTGGTGAAAGTGGGCCATGAAATTGCTTTCGTAGCTGTTTACAGACCTTGTGGTTTTAAACAAATAGAAAATATATCACGTCATTAGACACTTAGGCAACCATCGCGATTCAAAAATATAGTGATAACGAGTGATATGAATATAAATTTCAACCCAGAAAACAGTGAAGGCGGAGCAAAACACTACCTTAATGTCTCTGCATGCCAAGTTCTATTTCCAGCACATTTGCTCCCTATTCATCTAAGTGGTTCCTGTTTAGACCACACTTTACTAAAAACTACGTTACCATTTATAATCCTTGTCACCATTCCTATAGTAACCGATCATAGTGCAGTCATTTTTAACTTAAGCCTTAAAATGCTGAAACCTAAGTGTAAATACTCCGTTCCTAAAACTAATATGTAAAACCTTAAACAAGTAATCCAAAACATTGACTTTAGCCCAGTTTATAAAACCGACGATGTAAACTTTTCTCGTCTTAACTAAGTAAATAACGTACGAAATTCCATTGTTGGCAATACTTCGTTTACTGCAGTAGTTAAAAATAATTATATCTCAAGGCCTTGGATTATACTCGTCTGATTAGATGCGTGAAAAGTAGGGACATACTACACCTGATGGCAAAATCTTCTTCAGATGATTCTGTTTTAAAATTTCAAGTTGAAGTATAGTTATCATACAAACTTACTGGAAAATCTGGTAGAGATAATAAAGATTTGGTGGCATGTAAAAGATATTATTACCTTGAAATAGTTATAGATCCCACGTTTACCTACATTTTAAAAACCACATAAATCACCTGTGCGTCCGTAATCACCAGTCCGTAAACTAATGTTTTGTTTTTAAAAAAGATTCGTTCTTTTGCTGACATAACTGTAGTAAGTTCATATACACTTCGCATTATGTCAGTCAATTCTCACCTATTGTATAACCTCATGGGGAGGAGCAGCTAAAGCTATACTGCAACACAGGAACGCGCTCAAAGATCTGTAACGAAAGTCGCAACTTTCTGCCCTATTCTGTTCCCTCCCACCTATTATATAAATCAGGCAAATACAAATAAAAGTCATATGAGAAAATCGGCATCCGCCACTGGTGGAGTACGCCGCATGCGTTGGACAAAAAATATGAACGCAAACGCATTGCGGGCATACTATAGGGCGAAAGGGGGAGAAACTGCAGGGATAGCGTATCGGGCTCGGATGCATTGCTTTTTTGCTGAGCTGGAACCGTCTATTCCCGTCACGGAACAAAACCTGGCAGACCGAGTTCGGTACACCATGCGCTCGAAAATATTTCATGATGCCGAGCTCGAACGACTACGACGTGAGGCCATTACCTCATCGAATGAATTGGCTACGGCTCGGGATGCGGCTCCTCAGCCGACAGACCAGCATCCACGCGTGGAAGCCGCCATGGATCTTTCAGTCGTGGCTGATTCGGACGATGATCAAATGGTCTCCCACGAACTAGAGCAAATAAGGAGTATATTGGAAGAGGCGATTTTGGAAACGCGCAGCATGCCTCTCGAAAATCGACCGAACGCGACTTCCCCGCATACTAAGAAGAAATCGGGCTATCGTGGGGCTCTTACCCATGCTGGTAACCTGTTTTGAAGCCAGCCGGGACCTTTGCGAGACGGACTCAGTTATTTTTGGCGCCGCAGTGGCAGCTTGCCGTATAATTGGCGCCAAACTTCCCATGGCTGGACACGCTACTAAACAAAGTCGCGCCATCCCAGTCTGGAGGAAAAAGAATTGAGGACCGGATCGTAAAGGCAAGGGCCCTTATCGGCAGACTGACAAGCTTCAGGTCGGTTAATAATAGACCGAGGGTTGTGCGCACCGTTAGAATAGCGTTTGCTGGGACAAATATCAGTTTGTCCCAGCCGAATATCATGCAAAAACAAACGGAACGCATAGATGACCTGAAGCAAAAGATCGCTGCTTGGGGGAAGCGGATTCAACGATTTACCGAGAGGTCAAGGCAGTTCAATCAAAATCGTCTCTTCCAGAGTGATCAGAAGAGGCTATATAAATCATTGGAGCGACCAGAGTTATGTGGAGCGGGCCCAAGACCGGATCAGGCTAACACTATCGCATTTTGGCGTGGCCTGTGGTCAGAGCCCGTAAACCACAGCGAGGGCCCTTGGATGAAAGTTGTGGCGAGCCAGAGTGCGAGTGTTACGCCTATGGACCCCGTCACCATAGCGCTGGAAGACGTGGCTGAGGCGGTCCGTAGGGCCCCGAACTGGAAAAGTCCGGAGCTCGACGGGCTGCATCATTACTGGCTGAAGGGGTTCGTAGTGTGTCACGCTGTGCTCGCCCGACAGTTTCAAGAGGCTCTCAATCAGAAGTCGCTCCCGAGCCTCTTCACTAATGGGATCACTCACTTGGTTCCTAAAGATTAGGATAGCACAGACCCGAGCAAATACCGCCCCATCACGTGTCTACCCACCATATATAAGACATTGACATACATTTTGAGCGCGAGAATCACTCGTCACTTGGAGCTAAATCAGGTGATGTCACGCGCTTAAAATGGATGTCGGGGCGGTGGTCGTAGAACCATGGAACCACTCCTCATTGACGCGGTTACTGGCAAATTGGTAAAACGCAACCGTCGGAACTTCTCCGCCGCCTGGATAGACTACAGAAAGGCATTCGACTCGGTGCCCCATACATGGCTAAAGAGAGTCCTCGAGCTGTTCAAGATAGACTGTACAGTTAGAGACTTCCTCGAGCAGTGTATGGGGCAGTGGAGTACAATCCTTTGTCATCTGGGCGAGCGGATAATGGCTGCGGAGAACCACATAAGGATAAGAAGTGATATCTTCCAGGGCGATTGTCTGAGTCCAATTTGGTTCTGCCTCTCTCTGAACCCTCTCAGTACCTTACTGGGGGGATCCGGGAGGGGATTTCAGCCACGGAAAGGAGGGACAAAAGTGACCCTTTTCTATATGGATGACCTCAAGTTGTTCGCCTCCAGTCGCTCCCATCTTATGGAATTGCTAAACATCACTTGTGAATTTAGCAATTCTATTGGAATGGAGCTGGGGACGGATAAGTGTGCGGTCCTCCATGTTGAAAGGGGAAGGGTTGCAAACTCTAAGGGCATAGACTTATCTATGCCCGTCAACTTAAGGACCCTTTCCGAGGCTGAAACATGCCCATACCTGGGTATGTCACAGAACATCGGTATCGATGAGGCTGGTATGAAACAGTCAGTTTGCGACTTGTGTGCCAAAGTGCTTAACAGCCTTTTGTCCGGTGTGAATAAGACACACGCATATAACGGTTGGGTCATGCCTGTCCTCATGTATACCTTTGGCATACTCAGGTGGACTCAGACTGAACTTAACGCCCTGGATAGAAAAGTCCGCACTACCTATGCACCCTATGACGTCCCATAGGATGCATCATCCGAGATTGTCGGTAATGAGGCTATACTTGCCGCGAAATCATGGTGTGGCGTGGCTTTCTGAGCGCGCTCACCATGAATAATCGCGAAGTGTGCAGCCTTCGTCATTACTTCCTGGCGAGATCGGATGATCCATTGTACAATGACGTCATTTCTAGTGATAAAGGGCTTACCCCTCTATCCCTAGTCAACGAGCAATGGCAGGACCCAGCAGTGCTTAGCATTTCCGACCGGGAGGCCGTATGGAAGGAGAAGGTGCTCCACGGGAGGTACTACAGAGCTCTACATGAGCCCTTCGTAGATACAGTTGCCTCCCTCAACTGGCTACGTTTCGATGACCTCTTCGGGGAAACCGAAGGTTTTGTCTGTACAGGATCAGGTTATTAAGTGGATAACTATATACGATACGATATAACGACATTACCAATAACTATCGGAGATACATCCTAAAAGATGGCACCGTCGACATCTGTCAAGCTTGTCGCGATCCCGGTGAGTCACTTAGGCATGTCATCTCCGGTTGTTCGGCGCTTTCTAACACAACCTAGTATTCAGAATTCTACACCAGGAGCTCGCTCTGAAATACCGTCTCGTGGACCGGAAATTGCCGTATTACAAGTACTTGCCGGAAGCCGTGCTCGAAAATGACCCCGCCAGGCTCTACTGGGACCGGGCCATCATCACAGACAGGACTATTCTTGTGAATAAGCCTGATATTGTGCTGATGGATCGGGCACAGTCAAGGATATTTTTGGTCGACATTACCATTCCGTATGACGAGAACCTCGTGAAAGCCGAAACAGATAAGCGAACAAAATATCTGGACCTGGCTCACGAGATTTTTCTGAGAGATTTTTCTGCATTTATGTCTGGATTTGGAAACCAGTGTACAGGTAACCCTGAAAAAGTAGTCACAGGTGGTAAACAGTGTTGTTTTTGGAGACTCAACTTATAATTAACCTTTCTCACAACTTATTTATTACAAATAACAATGTTATGATTAATTAACTTCTCAATATTTTTGTGTGGCATCTAATAACAATAATAACTGTTTTTTACTCAGTTTTAAAGACAGACTTTTTCATTATCTAATTTTTCAAGTAATATCTAATGTAAAGGACACTTCTAAAGAACTTGCAATATGTATGCATTACACTAAAGTGATAGAAAGGTAACCTATCGTTTTTTATTGATTAAAACTACTTTTACGGATTTAATCCCGTTTATTTTTAATTTTAATTAATTTTATTTTTAATTCCTGACTTCTGACTTTTTCGGGTGCTTTCCAGCACCCATGGTCACGGGGGACTGAGGTGACTGACGTCCCGATGTTATTGTTAAACCCAGAGTACCTTCAGGTTTTTTAATTATTGTTTATGTTCCGATCTATGCATAATGAACTCACTATGTCCTGAGGTCTTGCAGTGGTATTGCTTGTTGTTATTGTTTTTTAATTGCAATAATTTACATAAATTAATGTCATACATGTTATCTCTTAGTGTAAAGAATATAGATGTTTAAATAAATCTTAAACATCCTTTTAAATGGCTTGTGATGGTTTAAAACTTCTAATATAAATATTTCGCCTTAATTTTGTTTTAATTTATAATACATTACTTTACAGAGATGGGACGCATTAAAATGTTTTAATATATTAAAATATTTATTTTCATTTCAGAATTACAACTTGATTCCATACCACATTCCCTAAGCAACAATACTATAACCAACAAGAAATGATCAATATATGGAGCATCTGAAATTAAGTAAGAACCAAATGCAATGTCCTAGATAGCTAGGTTATCAGCAGTTAATATTATTGTTTTAAGCTTTCCAAACAGAATACAAAAACAGTAGCATTGCTGTAATTAAAAATAAAAGACTTTTATTAAATTTTAAAAATGTTTTAATATTACTTTATATTAATTTGTTTTCTTTTAATTTCTTTTGTAAAAGAAATAGATTTTTGGTTCTTTGCAAATATAATTTTAAGTTTTTAATTTCATAGTTTTACCATTTGATATATATTCAATATGTTTTTGATTATGTTAAGCTATATTATAAATTTTCAAATATGAAAAAATTGATTTAATGTGGATTTAGTACATAGGTAAGAATAGATACTAATGGTGATAGGCTGATAAAAATATGTTTGTATTAAATAAATGGTTTAATTTGTATCAGAATTTTATTAACAAATCATTATTAAAAAACGACAAGTGAACAGAAAATAATGTAAATGGTGCTCTAAACTCTATAGTGGAATCAAAATGTGTTCAAAAAAGGCATATATGGTAATTTCATAATGCTGTGTTAATCTCTACTTTTATGTATGGTAGTGAATGTTGGGTGTGGCAGAAAAAGCATGAGAGTAGAATAAACACAGTAGAAATGTGGTCATTAAGGACTATGTTAGATCCGAATCTGAGTGACAGGGTAAGAAATTGTGTGATAAGAGTGTGGTTTGCATAATGATGTAACCAGGATTAAGAAAGGATTGCTTTGGTGGTTTGGATATGTAGAAAAAATGGATGAGAAACAAGTGAAAAAGCAAAATTTTTGCAGAAGTGAACAGTAAAGTCAGAAAGGGATGTCCTAGGCAAAAGTTTGTTGATCAAATTGGCAATATATTGAAAATGGGCCAAATTAAGGGTAGCCTTTACCAACATGCATGTATGTATAGGTATATGGATGTGAAGGAGGTGAGAGAGGTGTCAGATCGTGCTAAATGGAAGTCTGTAGTCTCTGCCTACCCCGTGTATATTTATGTTATGTTATATGTTATTAAAATTAAATTACCAATATAATTTTATTTTCAATTCTTATAAAATTATACATTTAGTGTAACTTAACATTATATTCATATTTACTTTACATGTGAAGTCTGCCAACAAACTTCTTAGACATGAGAAGAGACCTCTGAACTGCAGTGGGATCAGATATCTCAAGTATGATCTATCAATCCTCGTTAAAATAGTAAATTAAACAGTTTCTTCTACCAAACACTCACTTTAAAACAAATTAAAAATAAAGGCTGTAACTTTTTTGCTAACAATAATATGCTCAACTCCGCAGCTTTGGCTTATTAGTCGCCTTTGCGTACCAGTCTCAGCTGTTATGGCTCGCACAGATTCCTGTGATTTGCTACAGCAGGCGGGGGGCTGCTCTTCCACTGTGCCTAAGGCTTTACAAAAAC